CTGCTGTGATTGTAACTACGCTTAATATCATAATCAATGTTAACAACACTGGTACGTAACGAGCTATTACAAATATAGTGTTGTGCTTGCACTAGGAGCGCTTCTTGACCTATGGATGAAGACTTCTACTTTGTCTTATTGTTATTCCAAAGTTAATCCATTGACAAGTAAAGCAAAAGTAGAAGAAATAAAGAAAAATGCATACAATCTCTTTGACAAGTTTGCATGCAACATTCCTCCCTCTCCGAATGCTCAAAGTCAAAGTGTCAGTGATGTTACAAGTGCATTTTCAAGTGGGTCAATATCAAGATAGAAGAAGGGATTTTCAGAAATCATGCTTCAGGTAAGTTTATTTTATTTTGAAATGTTAATTTATTTACTTGGCATTGTATTTTTTTAAGACTTATATTTTTATGTGTTTAACTTTTTAAATATGGTAGGAATTGAAAAAGCACAATCAGCCCCATAATGCAGCTAAAATTGGAAAATCTCAACTTGATATCTATTGGGGAGAGGAGAATTTGGAGTTTGATGATGATACATTTGATATATTACAATGATGAAACGGGAAAGCTAAACGTCTTCCAAATCTCACTAATGGCTCGTGCCTTATTAAGCATTCATATCACCACTATTGCACCGAATCTGCATTCAACATTGAGTCATGAATCCTTAATAAGTACAGAAATAGTCTCTTACCTGAATGTGTTGAAGCTTTGCTTTGTACCCGTAATTGGCAGAATGGTTTTTTCGAAACTGGTAATTTATTTAATTAGAATGCAATTTACTTTGAATCATACTTGTTTTTAAAATTAATTATTTTCTTTTTTTAATTACGATTTATAGATATGAAGGTGACTCTGATGAATGATGACACTGGTAGTTCATGTGTTGTGGGAGCTTCTTCAAAGCAATGAAGCAAACATTTTGAATTTGTGATTTATTTATCTTTCAATTTGAATGGATATTTGTGTGTATTGTAGTTAAACATGGTAATTATTTTTATGCATTATTATTTTTATTTTATTTTTTGGGTTGGCTTGTAGAATCAGTTTTAAGCAAAATTTGTACGGTGCTCTGATTCCTGAATTTAATGTGTTTTTATGCAGGTTTTTATTTAGAATTTTATGTTTTTTTTTTATTTTATGATTTTTTTTATGTTAGGCGGGTTGGCTTGCAGCCCGCCAATCCACTCATAAAACGGGATGAGTTGTTAAGTTCAGCCCATTTCATCAAAACGAGGTGGGTCGGCCCGTCTCGTTTTAGGTGGGCCAGCCCGTATTGCCAGCCCTAGTTTTAAGAAAAGCAAGTCAGACTATACTTTATTCATTAAACACTATTATGAGAAAACTATTGTTGTCCTAATACAAGTGAATGACATAGTTATATTTGGAAATGATCAAGCTGAGATAAAGAAATTGAAGAGATACCTTAACAATGTATTTGACATCAAGGGTTTACAATATTTTTTGGGAATTGAAGTGGCAACTTCTTGTAAGGGGTTACTCATCTCTTAAAGGAAGTATGTGTTAGACTTACTAAAGGAAACAGGTAAATTGGGAGCCAAACCGGTTGACACACCAATGGAATACAACATTTTACGGGTGATGCTACTCCCCTCGCTTATCTAAGTCATTTTCAGAGACTTGTTGGCAAACTGATCTATCTAACTATAACTAGATCAGACATAGCATACGTTGTGAGTTACATCAGCCAATTTTTACACAATCCAACTCATGGTCACATGGATTTGGTTGATTAAGTTCTCAAGTACTTGAAGTCATGTCAAGGAAAAGGAATCTGGATGAAACAGAATAACCATATTGAAATCATGGGATATGTTGATGTAGATTGGGCAGGGAACCCCCTTGATAGAAGATCTACGTCAGGATTTTGTAGCTTTGTTGGGGGAAATCTAGTGAAATAGAAAAATAAAAAACAAAGAGTAGTAGCTCGATCCAGCGCAGAGGCAGAGTACCGAGCTATGGCCTCAGCTACTAGTGAACTCATCTGGCTTCGAATTATTCTCAATGACTTGGGAGATACAGTACCCAAACAATCCAACAATTTTTTTTTGATAATCACGCAACCATCTATATTTCCTCAAATCCTGTGTTTCGTGAAAGGACTAAACACATAGAAGTGATTGTCATTTTGTCCATAAGAAAGTTTAACAAAAATTAATTGAGTCTCCTTACATTCGAAGTGAAAAACAATTGGTTGATATCTTTACAAAAGTTCTACCCAAAAGCAATTTCCAGAGCAATTTCTAGAGCAATTCATATATTTGCATCAACTTGGAGGGGGAGTGTTGAAAATATGGACCAAATCAGTGGAGCAAAATCTGGAGAATTTGTTGATCCTAAAATTACTCCTAATCAAGCCTTGAATGTTGCTAGAATAAAAGGAAATAAATTGTTGTATCCCCAAAATCACTCATATGATATGACCTAATTTCCCTCTGTATATCTATGATGATACTTCTAAATTATTAATTTATTTATTTTTATTAGTATTTACTTTTGACCCACAAAATTTATATTATATCTTGAACCTAAATTGGTAGTGCTAGATTAATGTTATATTCATATTTTTTATATAGCATGGACATTTTGGTAGCCAAATGTCCACCATGGCAGAACCAATGGAGACTTATTCTCCACCTTCATACCAAGGAACTTTGGAGCCATTTCCAACTCAGTTCCCTACAATCACTGATCAGTATAGTTGTTGTACCAATGACAGCAACTATTGGACAACGGAGGATATCTGGTCTATACAATTACTCAATGGGGATTAATTACCTAAGCATTAAAATTATATATATAAAAAATAAATTTATATATATATAGGGACATGTTATATTTACAAACTTTTTTGTTCACAAACTCTTACAAACTACACTATGTAGGACCGGTCCTACATTAATCACACAGTGTACGACCGGTCCTACATTAGTGTAATTGCAAAAAAAATTTATAAACGGATCATGTCCCATATATATATATATACACACATAAATGCTTATGTACCTATAAGCTAGAGTACTGTATCTGATTGAATAACATTATTAGATATATTTATGTAAGTAGTTAAAGTATGGAGTTTTACGTACGTACCATGAGTTCATAGCTAAATTAGTTATGGATTGTAATATATAGGAGCTTATACTATTTCTGCATTCTCTTATTATAGTACATAAGAGTAGGTTGATGATATGTATGTGTTAGAGAACCGCAAACGTTGAAGCATAATATATTCTTAGTGGCAGGTATGGTCATATTTTATTATAGTATTTACTATTTTTATAAAGCCACATCTTGGAATTATTATATTTTACTGTAGGTTGACTTATTCTTCTCTGAAGTAACAGAGATATATGCATTGCATTATTGTGACCGTTATTAAACAAGGCTAATTTCTAACTTTTCAATCATGTGTTGGTTCTTAATGTTAGCTATTCTTTTCCAGGTTGTTGGAAACCGTAAATGAGCAGTGTTTGGTAGCACCTCTTAGACCATCCAACAAGGGGAAATATAAAGTCCGTTTTTTTATACTTTCTATTATCTAATACCATTGGCTGCTTCATTTTACAATAATGTTACTCTTTTATTTTATCTTGTTGACATTATATTTTATAAAGGGATCAAACAATACATTTGTTTTCACAAATACCTTTGATTGTCCTATTATATATTGGCCAATGGATATCTATATTTGATTGACTGTGTATATGTTATTCGTTAAGTGTTTGAGTAGCTCTGTCTTCAAAATACCGTGTTTTGGCTATTAGGAGCAAACTAAATTTGTTTGTGGTAAATTGATGCTAAAGTGATTGATTTTTTGGGCTGTTCTATATAATATCCTTTGTACCTGAATTTGCGAATTCAGCTAAAATTTCTAAATTGAAAGAAGAGGTTACTTCATTGAAGACCAAGTTAGCAGCATTTGAGGAGAGTGTTAAGATATTACAAACTGTAATGCTTGCATACATACAATTGAAGGAAGGACAGATTCCTCCAGAGTTGGGTGCTTTGTTTGGTATTACTTCTACTCCATTGGTAATTATTTCATATGTTTGTTTTTAATGTTCAACTCTATATTATTAGTTTAAGTGCCTCATTCTTTAAGCATGCTAAAAGGGTACAATAAATTAGTTTTTCACAAGATGAAGGGAGTGAAGAAGCTGTCCCAACACGCGGAAGGTTTTCATTAGATAGTAATCACCCTTGAAATGGTGTAACAGCCCGTTACGTACCAGTATTGTTATCATTGCATATGGTATTAAGCGCAGTTACAATCACAGTCATTGAGTTAATTAACTTACGGTTAATTTTTTTTCCATTATTAAATTCTCATTGTTAAACAATTAAACATTTCCGTAAATAATTAAAACAACACTATAATTGTAATTGCAATACTTGCGGAAGCATAAAACATATTAATTATCAACCCTCTAGGCAATACCATTTATTTTAGGTTTTAAAAACACTTCTTTTAAAAATTTGTACTGTGGTAATCGATTACCACTCTTGAGGTTATCGATTACCCAAAAGTTCAAAACGAGATAGTAGCTCAATTTGGGCTCTCCTGTTTTCAGGTAAACGATTACCTTGAAAAGGTAATCGATTACTGAACTAGGTAATCGATTACTAATGCTCAGGTAATCGATTACTTTGATCACAAAGGCTTATTTTTGCGTCCCCTATTTCATGGTAATCGATTACCAATGAAAAGTAATCGATTACCATGCAGTAAAAATGACAGATAACTTCTTTAAAGACACAAAATGAGTGATGGAACTTACTCCTAACACTTTGATACTTAATATACATCTTACACAAGTACTAATATAGGCTCTAGGCCCTTCTATCATGCATATTCATTATGAATACATCAATTACAATATTTTTCATTTGTTTTGCCATTTACACATCATATGGCTCATTTTACCTCACAAGTCACTAAATGCCTTTAAACATAGTGTGTGGCCATGGACAAATCTCATGCTCACCAAAATACCAATATAAACCAAGGCATGAAATATAAATCAAATACAAAAGACTTAGAATCTAATATAAACTCCTCCAAAATGTCATGCCATCATATGCACCTCATGCTAGAATCCTCCACTAAGCGGGCCTCTTGCCCGAAGCTCCTCCATGCTCATAATAACCTAAAATGATGTCCCCAAACGCGGGGTGAGATATACAAATATATCTCAGTAAACCAAGGGTACTAGAGAATCACTCCATCCCATGGCTCACTCAATGTGCAACAAATAACATCATGTAAAATGCATAACATACAAAATCACAACAACTGGGCACAAATCCAAGAACATCCACCTAATGATTTCCGTTCAAGGACCCCATCATATAACTCCCGGGAATCTTCCCGGTGCCTCTCCCATGGATGAGACGACCTCATGGCAAAACCCAACTGGAACTCCTCATGAGCCCTATCCAGCGGAAGTCCCACGTTTGGATCATCCTGGTACGGCTCTCAGAGTCGGCTCCACGGCAAAACCCGATCGGAATCCCCAAAGGATATCTTCAGCAGAAGTCCAAACCAACACACATCTACAGGCCAGAGATCACAAAATTTCACACACAACATGCTCCAAGCATGTCACAATCAAGCCATAACGCATGAATATACATATTCACACAATGGCAAAGGCACAAAATCTAACCACAACCTTCCACTAGGTGTGGTGGAGCATACAAGGGATTAAAATCCAAGTTCCAAAGGTTTACCTCACTCCGAAGCCAATGCTCCTCAACGTAAGCTCCAAGCTTAATCCACTTCTATTGAATCTGTGAGTGGCAACCTATATGATCATTGATCAAACAACAATGATCAACAACATTCACATAATACTCATCAACTTTACAATAATAATAACCAATAAATCACTTAGGCCTATGGCTATTTTTCCATTTATCTCAACTATCTCAATCACTTTAATCCTTGAACTAACTCATCATCATAACCATGTATGCACCAAGGCACCAACCATTGATTTTAGTATTTTACATTATTTTTCTCACCATTTTCTTCCAATTTCCTTTATAGCTTGAATTCCCACATACAAATATATATCCAACATTCTTTCTTCCAATTCCACTTTATCACAATATACTATCATCCATTTAAACACCATTTTTCAATCATACAACTTCAACTACACAATTTTTACATCATTTTTCCTAAATTCCCTCTATGGTTCGAATTCTTCAAAGAAGCCTACACCAAGGCTTTCAATTCAATTTAACACCTACACATGTTTTACAATCCTATTATTGACTCATACCAAAGCTCCACAACTCAATTATCCAATCCCATCATCATGACAATTCATAAAGTATTGAAATCTCATCATAAAATTTCCTAAGTTAAAATTTCCAAATCACAATAATTTTTATTGCATCAATCATCATCATTTATCATTCTAAGCATCTAATTCCAAAGGAGACATACCATTTAATGTTCCTAACTATCATAACTCAACTTACAACTTCAAAATCTTCATCAATATTATGATCTCCATGAATACTCAAAGAGGATAGAAAAACTTAACACCAATAGTCTCCAATGGTCCAAGGGAATGATCTCCAAGCAATGAATCAACCCAAAAATCACAAAAAATTCCCCAAAATTTCGTGGCTATTTTAAGGGTATAACTCCTCACACAATGCTCCCCACAAGATGCACTCTACATGGAAGTTACTCACAAGAGTGTGGGGAACAACTTTGTAGTTGGAAGTTTTTGCTAAAAGTGTCAAGAAAATAAGTTGGAATTTCAAAAGCTCAAACCCTCACAAATGGTGAAAAGCCTCCACGGGAAGAAGGAGAGGGAGGAGAGAGAAAAGTGGGAAAATATGATTTTTCATGTCACTTAAGTCACTTAAAACTCTTAGGTGGGTCCCACATGCGAATTAACTTTAATGAATCACCTAACTTAAACCACAAATTCATAACCTACGTATTTTTCTCGTTCGCGTTATATTTTTGTTTTCCTAAAATACTGATCAAAATTTCATGCTTATCGGTATAATTATACCGCAGTATTTTACACTGGAAAAATCACTATTCATCAAAAATTTTGAAACTCGCCTATCCACTCGATTTTTCGTCCTGAATTCATTTCTGGCCTTATTTTTATCATTTGAGACCTTCAACTCAATTTTTCATGCCTAGGGACACGTGTTTGATAAATTACCATTTTGCCCTTTTTACATATTTCGGCCCAAATTTCAGGATTTCTACTAATCCTACCCTTTTAATCAACATTATCACATATAAATATATATTTAGAAATACGAGGTGTTATAATTGGGTTATGTTAATTCAATATTTTTGCTATGATTTTGGGTTCTGCAAAGTGATAGGTGCATCATTAGAGACTCGTATGGATTTTAGAGTTTTAAAATGGATTTATTTTATGTGTTCTTGTTGTGGATAATTCTAAATTTGCTACTCTTTCTCATTTGCACAACATTGAATCAACTTTATATCTTTTATGAATGTGTACAATTATAGTGAGACATATTCTACTATGAATGTTGTTATGCCCTTCATTAGATAAGAGAACACTATGTAAGTTTTTGTTTTGCTTGACATTAATTCAACTTCATACTATAGTATATGGGTTAGAGTGTATTCATACTTTTACTTATTTAAAAAAGTATTAATCAAGTACGAGCATGAATATGAACTATGATTGGTGTGCTATAGTGTTGCTTTTGGATAACTAGTATTTAGTAGTTATTTTCAAGAAAATGTTTAGAGATCAAACAAAAATAATAAATTGGCTAACAAATCAAGTGATGGAGCCCAATTCCAAAATTATGATATACAAATCTTTCAAATTTGGATAATTAGTATTTAGAGGTCTAAACCTGCTAAAATAATAAATAAATTGTAACAGTCTATGCCCTCTAGAAAATGATGAATGTTGTGGGGGGTTTTATGAACGACAAAAAGTCTAGCATATTGTGGAGGTTAGTAAACCTCCAGAAATAATACATCATTTATGGGGGTCTGAAACTTTCAAAAAATACTCAAACAAAATGTGGCAGTGTACACAAAGACGCCACAAAATATGTTGTGACACAGACAAAATTAAAGGTTATTATAGATGCCACAAATATCTTTTGTGGAGGTCAAGATCACACAATATGAAAACACAAAACGCCTAAAATTTTGTAATGTTTGATTATTACTTTCTAGTGATAAGTCTGACACTTTGCCCATGTGCACAAAAAATTAAGTAATAAGTTGTTATTACGTTCGCTTATTATGTTGTAGAGTTGATTATTTTTAAAAGCAGATTGTAAATTTAATAAATCTTATTTATATTATTTTTTGAATTATTATTATTAAATACATTGTTATGCTATTGTGACTTGCCAGACTATTTAACAATAATCTCTGTACCGATAATGACTCGAAATTTGAGTCGTGACAAGCATATCGATAAACAATACAAACATCACAAGTATTATCAGCGCAACGGTTGCAGGCACTCATCTTTTTCTTTTCTGTTTGCTAATGAAAATTCAAAGTGTGTAAATTTAAAATCAGCTTGTAGCTAGTAAGAGCTTAATCAAACAACTTATTCCCACCTACCTAGCTCTATGGCTGTCGATGTATTGAAAATAAGCGTTTGTTTAATTATGAAGCTACTTTTATAGTTTAGCATCCTAGGTTTTTTGTGAGCGATATATAGTATCAAATATATGTTTAGGCTCCCCGCAAAATGAGGGCAAGATTAAGTGGATGCCCTAAATATCTTACTAGTTTAATTTTTTTTTTTCTTTTAAGTCAATTAATTAAAAGGGACAGGATTCGTTTACAAACTTTTTTTGCAATTACACTAATGTAGGACCGGTCGTACACTGTATGATTAATGTAGGACCGGTCCTACATAGTGTAGTTTGTAAGAGTTTGTAAACAAAAAAGTTTATAAATATAACATACCCCTAATTAAAATGAAGGAGTTGTCAAAATTGTATTGGCACAGCCATAATTAAGTAGGAAAACTAGACATCAGTGGTGGAATCAGATAGACCACAATCAAAAGTCAACCAACCACAATGTAGTGCTGGTAACATCTATCGGTTTCCAAGTGATAGAGCGAAATATATATATTTTTTAAATTATTGTTGTCATCTATATAAGGAAATTGATGTCATTGCAGGTCAGGTTTCGTAGTGGTGATTCTTTACTTAATTGATTGTGCTTTTTCATTATATTAGTTTATCTACAGATTTGCTTCTTTAAAACGTAAGACACGCTCAATACATGTATGCTCATTTGTGGGTTTCCCCAATTAGTTTTTATTTTTTATTTTGATAAATATTTTCTAATTAAAAGTAGCAGAAAATTTGTATGAATGTTTAATTTACACCAATGTTAATTGTAACTGTGGCCTCTAATGCTTTCTAAATATCTCTGGGAGTGATTCTAATTGAAATTTGCCTAAACTATTAAGCATGGAGTGAGTTTCAGTAAAACATCATGGAAGAATATAATTGACACAAATTTTGCCTCTTATATTTCTTACACTGATTAAAATTTGATTTCAAGTTAACGATATATTTTAGTATAATACGATTTCGTAAATTGTTACATTTTACTATATTTATTTATTTGCATTTAATTACCTCCATACCTATCTTGTCAAGACTTACAATCTTCCAGAAAGTCGCCTTTTGCATTTACGTCGAGCCTTAAGTTGCGTAATGGAATTGGTTACATTCAAATATCTTCAAGATTTAGGGTGGGTTTGCTATAACGATATGAGACATGTAGCCCCAAATTATTCATAGGGATGTGACGGTTGCAAATATTTTGAGGAGTCATTTTTGATTCTACTGTAAGACTAAGAAGTTTTATCTTATTCTTTGATTTCTGTTTATTTAATGGGTATAATTTAATTAGAATTAATAATTAATTAATCAATTTAAATCATGTATTTGGGTTTTAAATTGGTCACTGTCAAATAATTTTTTTGAGGTAACCTGTGTCAATAATTTTTTAATTGACTTTTATGTTTCTCAATAATATTTAAACTATTTTTTTAATTTTTAAATATATTTTAATAATCATAAGAAAAGTAATTGAAATAATTAATTGATATATTTTATTGTGAGAAAACTGTATAATTATTTATGCATACTTTTAAATAATTATTTCTATTAATACATGCATATACTGGTGGTATGTATTAGATTTTTGCTTTTTAGGTCCATCGGTGCATGCTTTAGAGCTCCGAACAATAGAATGTTGTTAATCATTAAGAAAAAATTATAAAAAATAAAATAAAATAAAAGGATTCAATAATTTCTTTTTATCGTTGATTTTATTCCTTTGATATTGTCATTATATAGTTATAAATGTTGTTTATCTTATCAAATTGTTATTTGGCAGCAATGACAAATTTTAAATTTTGAGATAATAACATTCAAATTAACTGATTCCGTGATGGAGCGAAGTAGGGTTAACGGGGACAATCGCCTCTTTTAAATTTATATAAACCTTTAAATTTAAATATTATTTACAATTTTTTATCATATAATTAATGATCGTCTCCATTTAAAATTTATTAAAATATTTAATTATAAATATTGTTTTGGGTCAATATATATATATATATATATATATATATATATATATATATATATATATATATATATATATATATATATATATATATATATGGGGAAGAATTCGTTTACAAACTTTTTTTGAAAATTTTTAAAAATTACACTATGTTCTCCCGGGAGAAGATAGTATAGTTTGTAAGAGTTTATAAATAAAAAAGTTTGTAAATATAATCTGCTACTATATATATAAGGAAAAAATATTTATCATTTTAAATGACATATAGTTATGTTATTTTTAATAAAACTATATTATTTTGATGTGTTTTGTCATTTTTTTTTTATAAAATTAGGTAGAAAATGAAAGTGGAGGACAGAATGTAAAAACATATCAAAATGACTTAATGACATAATTTTATGTAATTTAAAATAACAAATAGTATATCCTATATATAATTGCATCTTTAAAGAGAAATATACATTATAATTTTGTCCCCGTTAAAATTTATTTATTAATTACTCTACATAGCTGAGGCTTTTAGCTAATTACTAGTACCATGGTAACGTTCGAAATGAACAGTGGTTTTAATATCTTATGTGGATGATAAAAAGGTGTTCGCGGTCTGGATTGGATTGGATCGGTTTTGGAAATAAAAATTATCCGATCGAATCCCTTTGATTTGATCTTGTAATTATCCATTCGATTTGAATTTTTTAAAATCCGATCCAATCCAATTTTTTTCGGTTTGGATTGGATCGATTTTCAATTTTTTGAAAATTCTAAAACTTGTTTCATAATTATTGTGCAAATAACATATTTTGTATATATTGGCTTTGTAATTTTTTTTTTGCTGATATATAAAAGTATTAGTAAAAGATAATATGATTTTATTTTTTGGGTAATGAGATGTGAAGCTCTATACATATGAAATTTTGTTAATGGGATGTGACTAGATTTTTTCTTGGGTTTAGTTGATGGATTAATGGATCTTGAATTTAGAAATTTTTGAGCTATGTTTGGAGAAATGCCCAAGTATATAGAGTGGAATTAATATATTAGATCAGTTTGGATTGGATCAGTTTTCATCAACCAATCTGAAAACTGATCTAATCCAATTAAAATTTACAATTTTTTATTTATTTTTAATTTTTCGATTAACAATTTTTTAGTTCAATCATCACGATTTAAATCGAATTTGATCGATTGATGAACACAGATAATGATGATCAGTAATTTCAATTTTCCCGTCGCTTTACATTTCTAGTAAATAACATCTTTCCCACTCTAAGGAGTGGGGACCATATTGCAATTATGTTTGGCTTGAAACGTTGCTTTTTTTTTTTTTTTTTTTTTATAACAGAACGTTGCTTCTTCGTCCTTGCACTACTTGTGGACCAAATTCAATCTCGTTTAGAGCATGTTTGGATCCTCTTATTTTTAAGCTAGAAGCTACTTATAAGCTAAAGCTAAAAAAAAGAGCTTAAAAAAATAAGCTAAAAGCTGTTTGGAAATTACATAAAAGTTTTAGCTTAAAAATTACTTAAAAGCACATATTTCAAGAAAATTATCTCTTTCTATCTTTATCACTCTTTATTTTAAAAAAAAGCACACAATTCAAGAAAAACAGATAAGAGCTTAAAAAAAAGCTCCTCCTAGGAGCTTTTAATTTTCAGCTTTTTTCTTCATTATAAAAAAAAGAGCTTTTCGTTATAAGAGCTTTTCCCAAAACCTGTTTGGCCTAACTTATGCTTATAAGTAGCTTGTAGCTTAAAAAAAAGAGGATCCAAACAGGCACTTAACTATGACGTGATTAGCTTATGTGGAAGAATAATAGGGATTAACAGACCCTAAAAAATGGAATAATTGAGAGAAGAGAATAATTTATGCATATGAATTAGCCTAAATTAGTGCTTTTTACTGTGGTCATTATTCATGTTTCCTGATGGGCTTCAGCCCTTTCTTACTGCAATACCCAGGTCCAGACCCACTAAGGACCTACTAATAGTCTAATACTCTACTATCATGTTGGGCATTTTTTTAAGATTTTCGGATAAGTGATAATGATAATTTTATTTTCCATATTTGATATAAGATTTTTAAAAAAAATATTCAAAAATTTAATTTTTTGTATAATTGTTCTTCCAAAATATTATTCAAGAATACCAACAAAGGGTGATATTCTTAGAACCCCAAGATGTTAAGAAAATTTTATATTTTTTTTTACAAAATTCCGATAATATTTTAGTTTATCAAACAGTTTTTTGTTATCATTCTTGAAAAAATGACTTTCCTAGAGTCAAAATTTCCAGGTACAAAAAAATTTATCCATTGTCCCTTTATTTCATTTATAGTATTGCTTTTCAGTAATTAGAAAGTAATAACATAACAGAAAATTCTAAAATTTTCTTGTTCTTCTCTCTTCTATCTTTTACCTTCTCTTTAAATCTTCTTATATTGGTGCTTTCAATGGTCTATTAAATTTAATTTTTTAATTCAATAAAAACATAAAAAAAAAAAATTCCAAAATCCAACTGGCATTAGCAGGTACGGATCTCCCAAGAAAGTTAATTTCTAGAATCACCACAATTTCTTGAATCACTCCCCAATTAGCAGGTACGGTAGGTGGTACTTTTCAAAACTTTTGACCGCTGGAAAGCTCTCGTAGAAATTTCTTTAACTTCTTGTACATCATATTTGAGCAGTTAGTTTAGTTGAACTTGTGGTTCTTTGCATCTATTTCTTTCCACGTGTCCACGTGTGACATACCACAATCGAGTATTAGACTGGTCTTTGTTGCATTTTTCTTAATGCCATTTCCATTGTCCATAAGAATGGGTCATGATTCTTAACCCTTAAAAATATTTGTTATGAAAATTATAAACACACCCCAAAAACTCTAAACCATTATATTCAGAACACCTGACTCATGCAATTTTTTTTCTAACTGCATGTGATTTTGTTGCTTAAATACTATATTCGGCTTTAACTTTCAATGGAGTGTTTCAATTTGCATCTTATTATGTTTCCGACTCTAGTCAATGTCCAATGTACGTCATTCAAATGAATTGAATATTCAGAGTATAAGAAGGCATTTTTCAAACTTGGACTCGTTCTCAAACGCCAGTGAAATCGATTTTCCTAGAAGGCACATTTTTGGAAGGCACCGACCAAATATTTATCTTTTTAAAAAATACACGTTTATATTATTTTAGTGAAACTACCGTGTTTTAGTGGTTTTTAACCTTCTCTTTCATCCACATTACTTTCACGTTCTCTTTTCAGCAAAAAAATTAATTTATTTCTTTTTTAATAAAAATTTATGAATAAATAGTCGTTTTAAAATTAATTACGAAAATATAGCAGTCAAACACGCCCCATAGGGGCGTGACCGGTTGGAGAGAGACACGCCCAATATGGGCGTGACCGAGGAGAGAGACATGTCCCATCTAGGCGTGTTTCACCAGGTACTGTCACGTGTCACAAAAGTCAAAAGTTTGACCGTAAAACTTTGAAAGTTCATAACTTTTGACTCGGGTATTCGAATTAGGTAATTTTTTTTTCCACATAACTTTTCGAGATCTACGTAATGACACCTCATTTGTCAAATTTTGTCTCTCACAAAAAAAAAATTGAATTTACAATAATAATATCATAAGAACGTTTAAACTCAAATTAATAAGCAGAAAATCACTGTTATGATTAGAAACATTCATAATAAAGATCCTTATGATTATGGTAAGTTATGATAAGGTTAATTATGTATATTATTGAGATATATATTAAAAATTTGAATGAAGAATTTTATGAAATTTATAATTTTATTCGATTAACATCTGTCGGTGACAGAATATCGAATAATTTATATTAAAAATTTAAGTGAGTGCTTTTCGTTTTATTTTGATTTTTAAGTTTTTGTTCATGATTATAAAAATGTTAGATTATTTTTAGTAATAATTATAAGGTAACAAAGTCATGTCATTTTTAATAATTATGGTATCATTGTGGTAAATTCAAATTTTTTTGTGAGAGACAAAATATGTCAAATGATTACGTAGATCTCAAAAAGTTATGTGGAATCAAAAAAAATTTACCTAATTCGGATACCCGAGTCAAAAGTTATGGACTTCCAAAGTTTTTACGGTCAAACTGTTGACTTTTGTGACACGTGGCAGCACCTGGTGAAACACGCCCAGATGAGGCGTGTCTCTCTCCTCGGTCACGCCCAGATTGGGCGTGCTCTCTCCTCGGTCACGCCCAGATGGGGCGTGTCTCTCTCCAACTTAGTCACGCCCCATGTGGGCGTGACTCACGCTTAAGTCACGCCCCACATGGACGTGTTTCTCTTTATTGGAACACACCTCATGTAGGCGTGTTTGACTGCTATATTTTCGTAATTAATTTCAAAACGACTATATTTTCGTAATTTTTTAATAAAAAAACAATAAATTAATTTTTTTGCCACCTAATTTTGTGAAGGAAGGAGAATATAAAAAGTCACTAAATATACACTAAAACACAGTAATTTCACTTAAAATGATACAAACTTATAATTTAAAATGACAAATACTTTTATGAATATGAGTTTAGTGTCTAATCTTCTAAAGAATACAAGATTATGTCATTTTAATAGTTATAATTATGTACTATGAATAACACATAGTTATAATATTAAAATTGTACTTTTTTCACTTTTTACGTTAACAGACAATTTTTGAAGAGATAAAAAAAAAAAAACAACTTTAATATTATAATTATCTATTATCTATAATACATAGTTATAACTCCTAAAAGTACAGAGGTTATATAAGACTTTCTTAGAATAGAAGTTTCTTCGTTAACTTCAAAGCAATGTGTTTTCATAGTTTAATTCGTCACTGTTTCTAATTTGACTATCATACACTGTGACTGTATATAAATATAGTCCTTTCCTTGATCCTTGCTAGCAACTCCACACACACAACATCAAATATCCAGAAAATTAAACCCTCTTGCCCCAAATGGTGTTGATTAAAATGGAAAAGCTTGCTATGCAGGTTTTGATTTTCAATTTATTAACAGCACTTGTTTTGCTATCTTGCCCTGCAATGTCTGAAGAAGTTGGTAAGGATTCATTTGCTTAGTTGTTTTGTTCTTAATTTTCATGACCAGGGATATTTGATATGTTAATTCATTCTTTGATGGCATGTACAGAGGACGAAAGCGAGTTTAATTATGATCTAAAGAGTGATAAAGGACCATTTCATTGGGGAGAAATTAAACCCGAATGGAGTTTGTGTAAAAATGGATCAATGCAGTCACCGATTGATTTGTTGAGTAAGAGGGTTCAAATAGTATCCTACTTAGGAAAGCTTCAGTTGAACTACCAACCCTCCAATGCAACTCTTGAGAACAGAGGTCATGATATCAAGGTTAGTTAATTTGCATACCGAACAATATCTAATTACCCCTAAATTTATTTAGCAAAGAAATTTTTTCTACTTTCTTTGTGTCCCTAATTATTATTGTTTTTAATCTAATTACATATGAATAGTTGGAATGGCTTGAAGGTAAAAGCTATCTACAAATTAAGGGAATTCAATATGTACTAAAACAGTTCCATTGGCATTCTCCCTCTGAACACACCATAGATGGCAGAAGGTACTTACATATCTCTATCCAATACTCTTACATTCATTAAATATTGTTATTACGTTCGTTTTACTTATATGTTTTTTGCGTAGGGAAATTTATTCCCTGGTCCCTTTTTTCTTTTTTCTTTTTTCTTCTCCCTCTCTTTCTCTTCTCTCCTCTTTCTCTCTTTACCTTTTTCTCTCATGTGAGATCACAAGGGCTCCTTGCTTAGCTTATTTAAGTACTTTATCAGTTACACTTAAATTCCCAACAATAATTGCCTATATCTGAAGTAGTTAAATTAAATATCCAATTGCATTGCAGGTTTGATCTAGAGTTACACATGGTGCACGAAACTCCATCAGGACAAACTGCAGTGATTGGAGTACTTTACAAAATTGGAAGACCAGATCCTTTCTTGTCATTGGTAAATTAAATTTCAATGTCATTTATCTCTAAGTTTTGGTAGAAAACTTCAATCCACTGGGATCACCGAACTCGGTGCTCTCTTTTACTAAAGAAAAAAAGAAAAATTTTAATAAAAAAGAACACCGAGTTCAATGATCCCGATGCATTAAAATTTTTCTCTATGTTTTTATAATGAGTGACTACTGACTTGCACATATGTTGGACAATTTTCCATCTTTTCTAGTTAAAGAATCACTTAGAGGCCATTTCAAATAGTACGGGAGCAAAAAGAGCGGTTGGTGTTGTTGATCCTAGGCTGATTAAAATAGACACAACACAATATTACAGATACATTGGTTCTCTTACTACTCCTCCTTGTGATGAGAATATTACTTGGACCATTGTTAGAGAGGTTTGCTATTAACTCCCCTTTTGCTATAACATATCAGTTTATTGGTATTTGGTCACAATTTTTTCTTGTTTTCTTCATGATTTTATACTCTGATGAACCTGTCTAATTGATCAGGTAAGATGCGTTTCAAAGGAGCAAATCGAATTGCTTCAAGTTGCCGTTCATGATGTAAGTTACTATATGTAGTTTTCATATATCTCACATGACCAAAGGATATATATTATGCAACTAGCGTTATTAAAATCAGCTCTGGAACCGGCCGTTTGGATCGGGAACTGGATCATTAACTGATTTGATCCAATCAATTAACCAATCATGCATGTAAACATTTTGGTTAAACCAATCACAATTGGACTCATAAGATTCAAATCCAGCACATAGGGGAGGAGAGTAAAATGTTAAACACTAAGTCACATCACTTTGGTTGTCATATTATTTTTATTTATATATTTATTATTAGAAAAATATTTCTGCAATTAATGTAAATAAGTTATTTGCATTTACTTTCAAAACGACGTCGTTTTGAGATTGAAAAATTAGAAAATTATAATTATAAAGACTATAATAACCTTGAAATAAATTAAAATTACAAAAACACCACAATTTTCATCTCAAAACGACGTCATATTAGGCTTACTCAGATAACTTATCTGCAGTAACTACAGAAAAAATGAACTCATTTATTACATATTTTTACATAAATTCAATTTAAGCGACTTAATTTAATGGTGACCCATTGGATTTAATAATGTTAATGCAAATCAAGCATTTCCAATTTGGTTAATGAGTCTCTTTCTATAAATAATTTTATAGTTCTTTTTTGCTTTAATTTTTCACTTGAAAAAGAAAGCATTTAGTAACCAATATTATGCTATTTGTTGACACCTCAAAATCTTAAGAAAGGTTTAATAATTATAATAAGCTTGTTATTTTTTTTTCTTTTGTTAATTAAATTTTAAAATGTCATAATGAAAGATGAAAGAATTTCTTGCGTTTCAAACTTGACCTCTACTTTGCAGGAATCGGGTACTAATGCAAGACCATTGCAACCAATAAACAACCGCTTAGTGCAGCTCAATAAACCGAAAGAAGATCAACATTAAAAATCCAAGGCATTCGGGGTAGCAAATATGACTTGAAGATGATTTGGAATAATGCATTTTCGCATGCAATAAGTCTAGGGGATTGTTATACATTACTACTTTATATTTATATTTCTATTATATGGTTTAGGGTATATATTTTCAATTTTTCATTCCCTGCCCCTCCCGTGGGGATCAGACACGTAATCTTTTTTTATTTCTTTATGTCAAATATAATATATTACTCATTAAAAGAATCAAAAGCCAAGTCAAACTCTTCAATATATTGTATATGGGCGAGTAATAAAGAGATTGTGCTTTCAACTTCATTTAAAACTCCACTCGGCCAAACTGGGTCAATTTGGACTGGTCGGGTTAACTTGAGTTTTGTGGTGTCTTCATTGATTTGAGGTTTTGAGTTGAGCATCAGATAGATTATGCACTCGAATCAATTGATTCGGTTTGAACCGGATCAAAACCTGATTCAATCAGTTTTATCCTCTAATTTAAGGATTGGAAGGCTTATCACTTTTATTTAATCAGATAGATTATCACTTTTATTTGTTGGATATAATATTTATAATTTAATATTTATTATATATTATTTTAAAATCTGAATAAATCTGATTGTACTACTGATCCAATAATTCAATATCTCAATCGAGTCGATGATCGATCCGAGTTTAAAAAACAGATTCATACAAGAATTTTGTAAGTTAAAAAAAAAAATGCCAGCACCAACGCGCTGCTCATAAGGAGCAAGTTCCTTAGAATAACAATTATAATTAAGTTTTACGTGACACGTTTGCTGCATTTTTTTCACGACGCTATTATAAAAAGAAATCCCATTTTGAGAATTTTTCACATAAATTATTAGCTCATGACAAGGATAATTGTCTGTTTTTGGACAAGCGTGACGGATAAAGGCAAGGGCAACGATCTAAAAACTTCTCTAATAATTTCCTAGTTATGTTATGACATGACTTTAAGGGGGTGTTTGGTAGAGGAGAAACTTTTTTTTATTTGGGAATCTCGATTTTTTAAAAATATAATTTTTATATTCAGTTTACGATAATATTTAAAAATTAAAAATTTAAAAAAATTCAATTTCTCAAAAATCCTACAAAATTACGCGTACTAAACACCCCCCTAAATGCAATTTTATCCCCCCAAATGTTGCTTCTAGGCTTCTAGCATAGTGTTTGACTGTTTGTTGATGGCAGATTAGTTTAACTTTTAGATATCTTTAATAGGCCCATTATCTTTTTTGGTGAAAATAAGCCCATTTGTTTTTTTACAAAAATAGGCCCACTTGCTTTATTCTAACTGCTTGGTGTGCATATAGCCACTAGTGTGTGTTTTTTTAGTACAGATAGCCACTGGTGTTTTGCTTGTGTATAGACTATACTTTTTATTGGTGTTAGGCCCATTTGCTTTATTCTAAATGATTGGAAAGCTCTTGTCATTATATTTTCTTTTCCAAGTCCTGTAATTTTAAGACAACTAAAATTGAATAAATTTTTGTTTTTATTTTTTAAAATTTCAAAACGTTATTACTTTGAATTTGAAATATTTTTATTATTAACTCAGTTTATCAATAATATAAAGTCTTGTTATTTAGTCTTTTAAATATTTTTTACATTAATTTGCTTATTTTAATGATATAAAATGTAACATCCCCGTCTCGAGCCGGTTCAATTAACATACATATGATAAAATAGAAAACAGCGGAAGACTTAACTTACGAAAATATGAGCTAACTTTTTCTTTTTCTAACTTAATTCTTTCTCGGCGTAAACGAAAATCGGGCAGAGTTTCCTCTATAAATCGGACAACTGGGGATTTTCCAATCTCACTCAGAAGCATTTCCTGATAAACAGTTTATACAACATATCAATTCGGAAATACCAGATATCCAAATATAATCGAATACCCATACATGGGCGCATGCATAACATGGCTCCGTGCCACTAAATCTAACAGCATGCCATCAAAACATAAACCTATCTGAATACTACATCATCATATAACGTTCCTGAATACTCAAATGTACATGCATCAAACTGACAGACATGTACAAAACATATACAGGCCATATACAAAATAAAGGATCAATATCATGATCCATCAAATGCGAAAATACTAAAATACATCAAACACTCCAAAAAGGTAGCAGCCTACAGCCACTCAAAATCCGGTCTGTCAACTGCCTCAGCCACGTGTCGTGTCCCTGCCTAGTGAGGACTCACCGGAAATCTGGGCACCTGAAAATGTGTCCCCAAAGAGGGGTGAGATTACAAATCTCAATAAGCTCCAGGTTTATAGAGAATTCTCCATACCCCTGGCTCACTCCTGCATGAAAGTCAGATACAGAGTATACAAATACAACATATAAGAGATATCATAACAGAACAGAGCATATATCCATATCATATCAGAGATGTGCGCCGTCATTCCCAAGGGAGGACCCCAAGCGGAAATCAACGCACGTGTTCCCGAGGGAGGACCCCAAAGCGGAACCAGACATATCAGAGGAGTACACCATCAGTCCCGAGGGAGGACCCCAAAGCGGACGTCCGGGTACTATACAATCAATGGCCAGAGATTGTTACAGAAATCAAATTACAGAAGTCACATCAGAGCAAAACATATCATGTTATCAAATAACTCTATATGAATGCATCTATACAAAGCATCTAAATCACAGTCATACAGTCCAACCATAGTTCACTAACCATGGTGGAGCACTCAAGCAGGAAAAGACTCCTTAAACATAGAGCTTACCTCTTGAAGCTTTACCAATACGCTTACTTGTGGAACAAGTTACTTTTATCGCTTCAAGAGATTTCCGATCCTTCTCAATCCCTAGGCACACCTAGAGAATAATTTACAATGCATCAATAAAATGATGCAATACCATAATTATTTCATAAGCATACATTTTATCGCTTATTTTCCTTTCTTTGCATTTTTGCCAATCCTATGCCAATACACAAGTCTAGACCTCTTTATAACCGTTGGTGTTCTTTAATTTAATCAACCATTCCCTTAGGAATTTTCAACATAAATCATGCTATTTTTCTTCAAAACTCATCACCTTTATACAATTTATTACAACACATTTTATTTAAAATAAAATGTACAAAATATGTCCCTAAATACCCTATAGGTCGAATCCTACAAGGGGAATTTCCAAAGATCCTTCTCTTTTACAATGCATTTTCGTTACTTCATTACAACTTGCAAACACCTAGGAATGCTTCCACTAAATTCCTATTTTGAGTTTAGACACCAAGTCCTTTTTACTTAGGCATTCTTACTAACTCATCCATTTTCACTCATTTCCAACACACTATACCTTCACAATACATAATATAATTTTTTCCACAATAACTCCTACTCACTCCATGATGGCCGAAACCTAGGAGGAATATGCAATAGGACTTTTAAATTTTTATATCACATGTGGATGCTTACTCAACACTATAACTTCCTAAACAACAATAATCCATCATAAATTTCACATTCTAACATCAATTATTTCCCAACAAAATATGCTCATCAATTTCATAACTTAAATCATCAAAATAATATCATGGAAATAGAGGTTTCTTACCTCTAAACACTTGTACAAAGCCTAGAAAGCAATCTCCAAGCCAAGCTCCATCCAAAAACTCACTTTTTCTCCTCCAATGAATAGTAACTCGAAAATGAGAGGAGGAATAACTCTTCACACACTCAACTATAGCTCAAATGGATAGGTGGAATGGATTCATTGAGTGGTTTCCAATCAATTTCATGTGGTGGGTCATTGGATTTGGTGGATGGATGATGAAGAAATCAAAGAAGGAAAATTTGAAACCCTAGCCCCTTCCCCTCCATGTGCAGCTCGGCCATGCAAGAGAGAGAAGAGCACATGTGGCCATTTTCATCGGATGTTTTTTTATCGCGTATTTTAACTTAAATTGACCCGGAACTAACTCAAAGCTACAAACATATTTTTTATTTCCTAAAATCATTTACATTAATTTTTATTTCCTACGGAACAATATTCATAATTCACAGTATGGTTTTTGCACCGTTTTTGACGAAATGCACTGTGCATCACTAATTGTACTTCCTTTACTTACGAAACTTAAAACTTATAAACTTATCATTTTCTTGGGCCTATATTGACTTGCTTGGCATATATTGGACTTTCTTATTCTTATTTCATCAATTATTTATTTCTGGACTCTACCGGTTGCTTAAACAGCAGTACAAAATACCCGATAGAAACACTATTCACGAGATTTTCACGGAAAGTGCCAGACTATACAATTTTTCGTTCTGAACTCATATTTGTCATCAGAATTTTCAAATTATGTTCCTAAAATTATTTTGCTCATTTTAAGCTCTACCGGTTAATTCACAAAACTGTAAATTCTCCGGCAGAACGCACTGTTCATAACATAGTCATGATTACAGTCAAAATACTCGAAATCGCTCACTGAATCTAATTATGGCATTTAAATCCTTAAATTAAATCTCTAACTAAGATTTACCAGTTAGGGTCATTATATTCACCCCACCTTTTAAGGATTTTGCCCACAAAATCAAATATCAAATATACATATACCTGACATCAAACTCAGGATATCGCTGGAGAATTTCATTCTCCTGCTCCCAAGTGGCATCCTCAGGAGTCAATCCTTCCCATTGTACCTTGATCATGGGAATAAACCGTTCCTAACACTTTTTCATCACGTGCTAGAACCTTAAACGGTCCCACTACCACCATCAAGTCTTTTCTTACTTCGATATTGTCCGGCTGTACAATGTGGGATTCATCCGGCACGTATTTTCGAAGTTGACTGATGTGAAAAACACTATGCAAAATTGACAGATGTGGAGGGAAGGCAAGCTGATAAGCCACAGGTCCAACCTTTTTATAATCTGGTAGGGCCCAATGAACCTAGGACTCAACTTCCTCACTCCTAGAGCACGCCCAACACCCGTAGTCGGAGACAAACGGATAAATACATGATCCCCGTCTGAAAATTCAAGGGGTCTATGCTTTGCATCATAATAACTCTTTTGGCGACTCTTGTGCTTTCTTCAATCGATCCTTAATCATCATAATTTGATCGGTAGTCTCTTTAAATCATCAGGCCCAAATAACTGCCTCTCTCCCAATTTTTCTGACCAACAAAGTAGGCGCCCTGCACCTACGGCCATACAAAGCTTCATAC